GAATCACTAAACACCTCTACGTCTCAGTGACTCAAACTAGATCCTGATCCGGACTCGGCTCCACCCAGAAGACAGCAGCCGGCGCTATGAGAACACCAGCCGGCACCACGAGCATCCGCAGCAGCTCAACAACAACAGACACCACCGACAGAATCCATCCAGGATTCAGGCGAAGAGACACTATCAGAACCTCAACACAGACTGTGGCAGAATATCTAGCCAGACTCACACAGGTCCACAAAACACACACTTGACTTCATAGATCAGAGGCTATGGAGGGGGAACAATCCCATATCCCCCTGTGAGGCCCACTGGAGAGACAGTTTCATCCATCACTGCATGAGCAAAGGTGAGCACATCTTTGACCACTATGTCCAATAATTCCACGAAAGAGAGAAGAAAAGTGGGAAAGAGATCAGCTGGAGTTGTTCCCCTGATGTTCATGAACTTTTTTCAGCTTCGAGTATCACAGCTGAAAACAAACAAAACAAGAATAAACAATGCACACCAACACACCGAGGCAGCCGTTCAGGGCGCCATCTTATTATATAATATATAACATATATAACAAAGGTTTGTAATTAGTTTGACTTAACATTAATTGCACTTACCATGTAGAGCTGCATGAGAGTTTGGTAAAAAAAAAAAAAAAAAATCAAAAAAAAATAAATTAATCAGCAAAACCTGCTCTTCCATGTGCATACCTAGAAAAGTTTAAGACAAGGAGAGCAGCAGCAAAGACCCCCCGGGTACAGAACAGAGCAAGCATCAATGGTACTCAGAAATTACATATGGGTCCAGCTGGGGTGGAGGTGGGAAAGGTGCAAAGCGGCGTGCAGAGGAAGCAGCAAATCCAAACCAATCCAATCCAACTTTATTTGTTAAGCACTTTAAAAACAACCAAAGTTGACCAAAGTGCTGTACAGGAGAATAAATAAGACATCATAAATGTAAACAGTGATGGTGATGATGAAGACCACTGTGAGGAACATAGACAGTGATGGCGATAACACTGGAAAGTTCCCGTGGCAAATAACATGGACGAAGTCCGACGGCGACAAGCTCGATGTCCAGGCTGCAGACGCTCTTTCACACAGACGTGCCTGGCGTTACACCACCTGTTGTTTATGAGCACGGACAGTCCCTCTCCTTTCTTCATGCCGGTCGCGGTGGTGTCCCTGTCGGCTCGAACCGTCTGGAAGCCGGGAATGGTGACGTTGGAATCCGGTATCTGCTCGTGTAGCCACGTTTGTAGGGTTTAAACCTCCTCTTCTTCATCCTCCGTTTAACCCCCGCTCTGCAGCCTCGCCGTCTTCTCAGCTCCTCCGGTATGCAGGCTCTCTCTACAGTCAGGAATTTCCGGGGGCCTCAGGGCGATCATCTGGTCGCGGGTGTAAAACACTGCGACTCGCCGTCGCCATGGAGACCCGTGCAAACAAAAAATAAAAAGTGCTCAAAAACGCCAAAAAAGTATTTAGGCGACGTGAACAAAGTAGTAAGAAAATAAGAAAACAGTTAAAAATAGCAAAAAACACAGGCTAAAGACACTGAAAACACACTAAAACTACAACAATGATAGGAGCTGCCATGACAGGCTGTCGTTGTCGCCGGCGCCATTCCATGGATGTGCATGCAAAGATATGCAGGCTAAAGCAGCTTTAATAAGGCGTCCTGAATGATATGGCTCAGCTGATGTGTGTTTACGATCAGCTGTGATCAGCTGATGTAGCTGGACTTGAGAGCTGAGCTTGCTTTTTGGGCCCCCCTAAAAAAAAAAATAAATTTTTTTTTTTAAGAAAAAAAAAGTTTTTTTATAAAATTTGGGAGTAAAAAAAAAAAAAAAAAAAATAAAAAAAAAAAAGAAGCTAAAATCACCAAGACTGTTTTTTGACCAAAAGATGCTGTTTCACCCTGGTTGCAAAACTAGAGCTAAAACCAGTAAACCTGTGTTATTTGAACATTGGAGGTTGTTTTTTGAAAGTAAAAACTAATTTTTCTGAAAAGGTTTTTTTCCAGTTACAAACCAGAGCTAAAAACAGTCTGGAAGAAAAGCCACAAACAAAATTTTGGTGTGTAAAAGTCCAAGGCTGATATTGAGGTGAGTTGATTTACTGTGGTATTTAAAAGGATGTGTCCATGGTTGTTTGGGATAACCCAGATTTTTGTTGTTACTTTTTAACATAACATTTTGAGGTTGTTAGTAATATTTTCACAATATAATCACTATCACTCAATCATTCCCATCTTCTTTTACATCAGTGGTTACTAAGATTTCAAGATATTTATATTGGGGGTTTTTTTTTTTACACAAAACAGATCAAAACAGATAAAAACGAAACAAAAAATGATTAGCTGCACAATCCTCTACATTTGATTTTAATAATATATTACAAAAAACACGTAGTAATGGACAATCATGCTGATATAATTATAATTATGACTAAATCTTTTGAGACTATTGAAAAATTGAGAATAATATTTGGAAAAAGAAATGGAAAAAATGATTATTACTGTTTCCCATAACCATTCATTGGATAAGTGAAACATTCAGTATTTTATGAATGCAGGAGAACAGGTGCAACAACCTTCTTCATGGCCCTAAATTGTCCCTGTTTTAGGGTGGTTTGGTGACATGATAAATGGTCTTTTTCTTGTCATACTCTCCTAACACATGCCATGTTGTACAACTTTGAGGCCACCAGAATCATTATATGAACAAACCATGAAAGCCATGAAAGACACCTATTAATATATATACTAGTATATATAACTTCTGAGCTATAAAAACCTGATCAGGTATGTAAATATATGTCTCATCTATAAAATGATTCATGGCATGGCTCCTTCCCCAATCAGTTTCTTTATTAATGAACAAATAAATACAAAATAATACAAATAATAATACAAATCAGACTACAAGAGGAGTCTCAGATGGAGACTTGTCCCACTAAGAAAATCTGCTTTTGGTCAATCTGCCTTTTCAATTAAAGCTGCACATGAATAGAATGGTGTACACATGTACACATGTCCAAACTCAGCATTACAGGTCCTTCTCTAGACAGTTAAGAACATGGCCTATAAGCCACCATATCTGTAAGCACACACCTGAGATCTGGACTCCACTGTTACTGGACGGTGGCTGTAGCCCTTAGCCCAGGCTTGTGAGTACAGTTGCATGACTTGATGTACTAGTGACGTCCTAGCTGGGAGTTCCTTGGATAGAAAAAAAATGATTAAACAGCAAGAGTTGTGTCAGCAACAAATGTTTCCTGGTGGATCTTTGAACCGCAAGTTGGCCAGTCAGGGCGGCTGTGGCTCAGAGGCAGAGTGGGTCGTCCACGTAACGGACTGTTACAACAGCAGCCTGCTATGGCAGCTCCTATAACTGTCGTTGTTTACACCCGCGACCAGATGATTGTCCTGAGGCACCCGAGCATCCTGACTAAGGAGAGACCCTCCATACTAGAGGAGCTGTGCATAGTGCATAACCCCCGCTCTGCAGAGCGGGGGTTAAACGGAGGATGAAAAAGAGGAGGTTTAAACCCTACATCCCTACAATCATCACTGGAAACGTTGACACCATTGACCATAATATTCTTTTACAGAGACTTAAGCATCAAATTGGCATTAAAGGAACCGCACTAAGCTGGTTTAAGTCATACTTCATATCATCAGATCGTTCGCAGTTTGTACATGTTAACGATGAATCTTCAATAAATACCACAGTTAGTCATGGAGTTCCACAAGGTTCTGTACTTGGACCAATACTATTTACTTTATATATGCTCCCTTTAGGCAACATTATTTGAAATCATTAACTTTCATTGCTATGCAGATGATACGCAGTTATATCTATCGATCAAGCCCAATGAAATTAATCAATTATCTAAATTACAAACATGTTTTAAGGACATAAAATCCTGAATGAGCTGCAATTTTCAGATGTTAAACTCAGAAAATAATGAAATTCTTGTACTTGGCCCCAAAAACCTTAGAGACTCACTGTCTAAAGATATAATACTCTAGATGGCATTACCTTGGCCTCTAGTACCACCGTCAGGAATCTTGGAGTTATCTTTGATCAGGACATGTCATTTAATTCCCACATAAAGCAAACCTCCAGGACTGCCATTTTTCCTTTACGTAATATTACAAAAATTAGACACATCCTATCACAGACAGATGCAGAAAAATAAATCCATGCATTTGATTACTGGATTACTGCAGCTCTTTATCATCAGGCTGCCCCAATAAGTCCATTAAGACGCTCCAATTAATTCAAAACGCTGCAGCACGAGTAGTGACAGGAATTAGGAAAAGGGATCACATCTCTCCTGTACTAGCTTCTCTGCAGTGGCTCCCTGTAAAATTTAGAATAGAATTTAAAATCCTCCTCCTCACCTACAAAGTTCTTCATGGTCAGGCCCCAGGCATAAAGAGCTCATTGTACCCTATTACCCGACTAGAACACTGTGTTCTCTGAAAGCAGGGCTACTTGTGGTTCCTATAGTCTCAAAAAGTACAACAGGAGCAAGAGCCTTCAGTTACCAAGCTCCTCTCCTGTGGAACCAGCTTCCAGTTGTGGTTCGGGAGGCAGACACCATCTCCACATTTAAGAGTAGGCTTAAGACGTTCCTCTTTGATAAAGCTTATAGTTAGGGCTGGATCAGGTGAGTCCTGAACCATCCCTTAGTTATGCTGCTATAGGCCTAGACTATCGGGGGATTTCCCATGGTGCCCTGAGCTCCTCTCTTCCTATCTCTCTCTTTCTGCACTCATTCATGTCCCATTACTGCATGTTACTAACTTGACTTCTTCCCCGGAGTTCTTGTGCTGTCTCGTCTTGCAGGTTCTCATGGATCCTGGTGGGGCCTCCTACCATGGTCCTGCTTGACTGCCATTGCTAATATCACTGATATTATTGTTATTAATATTATTATTACTACAGTTACTATTATTACTATTGTCACTGCTTATTGTCCCCCGTTGTTGCTGTGCACCTGTCTGTCTGTCTGTCTGTCTGTCTGTCTGTCTCTCTCTGTCCCTCTCTCTTTCTCTCACCCCAACTGGTCGAGGAAGACGACCACCCACCTAGAGCCAAAGGGTCTGTCCTAGGTTTCTGCCTCTTAAAAGGTAGTTTTTCCTTGCCCCTGTCGCCAAGTGCTTGTTCATGGTGGTACTGTTGGGTCTCTGTAAATGTTATAAGGAGTTCGGTCTAGACCTGCTCTATTTGAAAAGTGTCCTGAGATAACTTCTGTTATGAATTGGCACTATACAAATAAAATTGAATTGAATTGAATCGGGGGCCCCCAGGGAACTGTACTGTCTCCCTTCCTCTTCATCACCTACACTGCAGACTTTAAGTACTGCACTGAGTCGTGTCATCTGCAGAAATACTCCGATGACACGGCTATTGTGGAGTGTCTGGAGGGCAGAAGAGAGGCTGAGTACAGGGACCTGGTCGATAGCTTTGTGAAGTGATGTGGGAAGAACCACTTGCAGCTGAATGTGGCAAAGACAAAGGAGATGGTGGTGGACTTCAGGAGGAACAAGCCCCTGCCCTCTCCTGTCAGCATTGATGGGACAGATGTGGACATAGTAATAAACTACAAGTACCTGGGTGTCAAACTGGACAGTAATCTGGACTGGTCCACAAATACAGAGGCTGTTTATAAGAAGGGCCTGAGTCGGCTTTACTTCCTGAGGAGATCTATCTATCTATCTATCTGATACCCGGCTCCTCCTATAATGTGTCGAAGTATCCTTGAGCAAGGTACTGAACCCCAAATTGCTCCCTGTGAATGTGTATGAATGCGTTCGTTTCTGTTCGATGGGCTTTGCCATCACTATGTGAATGTGTGTGAATGGGGGGAATGTGGCATGTAGTGTAAAAGCGCTTTGAGTGGTCGGAAGACTAGAAAGGCGCAGGTCCATTTACCATTTACCAGTCTTTCCTGTTGAGCTTTCTAGAGAGTGCACTGCAGACCTGGGTTGAGAAGAAGCCGCCTGTCCTTCAATCATCCATGGATTTACCCAGTAGCCACTGCTAGAAGGCAGGGAAAATGGATCACGTCGCTGGCAAACACAATTGGACTGGATTTAATTGACCTTTCCACCAACTGCATTTAAGTAATGCACTGTTTTCAAATTTTAAAGAGCATTGCATTCTGGGAGTCTTTAACCATGTAGTGTAACCTGGTTACTTTGGTTTTAAAGTATTTTATCCATGTTAAGTGATTTATGGTCTTGCACTTAGTTCCCTCAGTTACAGCTATTTTGTCCTTAACTGGGTTTCAGTGCCTGAGACCTAATTCCGGCAGTTATTAGGGTATTTTCTCCTTGTATCAGCTGGTTTTAGCATAACTTAATTCCTTCAGTTTTTAAGGTATTTTATTGCAACTGTCTTATTGTCTTGTCAGTGAAATTTCACAATTCTCAATACCAAACTCAGTGGCGGTTCAGTGCTTAGCACTGTTGCCTCACAGCAAGAAGGGGGTTTCTGTGTGGAGTTTGCATGTTCTCCCTGTGTGCGGGTGGGTTTCATCTGGGGACTCTGGTTTCCCCACTATCAAAACATCTATGTTAGGTTAATTCTCCAGTCAGTGCTCTTGACAAAAGCACTGGCTCAGATCTGGAGTTGGTCCCTAGGTGCTGTACAGTGGCTGCCCAATGCTCCTAATACTTAGATTGGTTAAATGCAGAGGACAAATTTCACTATATGTTGTACTCTGTATAATTGTATATGTACCAATATGGTGGATTCTATTCTATTCCATGCCACATTTTTGTTTTAATCAGTTGGCCTTTACAGTTGAAATGGTTCAGGTTACATTCCACTAAATGAGACAACTACGCCACATGCTGTTCTAAGCAGCTGTCTAGGGGTAGCGCTTGACGTGCATTACAAGCCATGCTGCAGCGGTGCTGGTGTGTTTTTAATGTGTTTCCAGTTTTTGCATGCTAAGGCAAATAAATTAAAACAAAAATGTAGCTAAGTTCCCAGGAGCTACTGGCCCTCACATCTGCATGCACCACCGTTGCCATAACAAATAACAAATAACAAATGACTGACCAACTTGTTGTTTTTCAAGCATTTATTATAGTAGTATAGATTTATTATTTATATTGGTTTGATTTAAAAAAAATAATTAAAATGTAATTAATTTAATGTAAACATTAAAATGTGATTAGGAAATTAATCAGGAACTGTGGGTGAGTGTGTGTGTGTGTGTGTGTGTGTGTGTGTGTGTGTGTGTGTGTGTGTGTGTGTGTGTGTGAAGAAAAGCATTCTTTCAGCTGCTCCAGGTAAGTCTGAACCCTGAAGGTAGGTTGGCGTAACGGGCTTGGAAAATTATGTAGACTTGATGAGAAGAGGCAGTGAATGGAGCAATGTTGGTTTCCTGAACAAACAACAAGGAAAAGAGAAACATTTTTGTAAATTTAAACCAACAAGTCCTTAATGACAATTTCTATAGATATGTAAACTGAGATACAGAAAAAAACTCTAATAAGTCTCTCATCTCGCACATACACTATAACAGAGGTATCCAACCTTTTTGAGAGTGACGACTACCAAAAGGGGGAAAATTGTTGGGAGGAATACTCTCTATACATCCATGTTAAATTGCTGCTTTCAACAGAATAACATGGTGATGTGTATTTTTTATTTCTTTACCTTTAGACATACAGAGGGTTGAACCAGTTTGATTTGGAATTGGAATTGCAGGTTCTTTTTTCTCTGGTTGTCACATTAACATTGAACAATATTATGAGGAATCTACTAATATAAACCAAGTTTATTTACTCAGTTCACCTAATCAAGGTAAAGGTGTCGTGTTTGTCTGGGCGTGGTGCTCCAAGCTCTCTTCTGTCTGACCCTGTTTTGTGCCTGTGCTTCAGGTTCATTCCCTGCTGATTATCTCAGTCTACCTTCTCCTTCCAGTGTCTCATTTGGTCTTTCCTCCCTGCCTTGGGCAACTGTTAAACTGCCATCAAGATTTGAAAATGTAATGTGTTTGAACAATGTGAAAAAATGTATCTCTGAAAAACTTTTTTCTCATAATCCCTTGTCCATGTTCTGTTTTGAAGTTCAAAAAGATCACCAAATCTAACATATTATGACAAGGAGACACTGACTATTACTAGGACAACATAAAAAAAGAGACAGGTTAGTAAATATCCCTCCAAGTCTGCTACATTACAGCTGAAGTGGTATTGCTTTCTTGGGTTACATACCCCTCCACAGTAAGGTCCAACAGGCAGTGATGAGGTGTCTGGGCCATCATATAACTTCAAGAAATTGTTCTGGCAATCTCCAGGGTCATCAATACTGATCTGGGCAAAGGTGATGGTCACCACACGACCCCTGGGTGCCACGATAACCCATTCACAATGGGTACCATTGGGATAAGTGCTTGGGTAGTTGGGACTTGAGAAGGAACCATGGTTGCCATACAGAGTGCCACCACAGCCTAGTGCACAAACACATTAAACAAAGATGCTTAAGCTAAAAGAAAGGCAGGGTAAGCAAAAGGAAGCCATTTCTACTGCTTCCAAGCTGTATTATTACAAGTAGTAATAACCATGTAAAAACTAGAAAATGTAAAGGTCCAGTGTGTAGAAAATGTATCATATGGTCATCAGTGTATAGTCACCAGAATATATACCAGAATATAATATACTGCCATGTTCCTACGGTAGCCCAGAGTTGACATACCAAATACTGGCTGTAGATAGAACTCCTGCACACTGGTCATTAAATATATCAAAAACATATACCACATAAAGACACACAAGATAAAAACTTAAGATAATAAAACCAGATGAATAGAAGTATAGAACTTCAGTTACTATTTGACAACAACATCACAGTAAACACATCAACTTTCCATGCCCTATAGAATAACATGTAATTCTTTGTAAGTCTCATTTATTGCACTATTCTGCTAATGAAGAAAGCAGATTGGACATTTTGGATCCGAGTGAGATTGATAAATCAGCAGTCCCCCTAACTGCAGTGGCAAACTAGAATAGATGAGATAGGAGTCTCCAGAAACAAAGTTTATGCATGTTGAATCTAAACAGAAAAACTCAGAAACAAAATAAGAGTTTGATCACAGGTGATATAGTTCTATAGTTTTAGATGTATTAATTGGTAACAGCAACTGTTTTCTTGGTATGAGCAATATATTGCTTGGAATGAAAACCTGTAAGTACTTCCTCATGAAACCTTGTTTAAATAAACAGTTCAGTTCTGACCGTGAGGGGAGGACGTCCATGTGACCTCAAAGCCATCTCGAGCGGAAGAGAAGTCACTCTTGAACCGTAAGTAGAGCAGGTTGGATTGTGGGAAGACGGGGCTGGGCAGGGTGCTGCCGCAGAACCGATTTATTAGTGGTGAGTCTGCGGTACTGCCATTACGAATCTGAGAGACAAATGAGAGTGTTGCAAGTTACAGACATAACACAAAGAAGTCATAGCCAGAAGCAGCCAGGAGCATCTAGGGTTGTCCTCAACAGTCTAAACCGTGAGGCCACGAGAATAGTCTTAGTTGACTCACTATTTTAGTTGTAGTCGCAGAAAAACAAAAACAACTTCAAACTTTGTTCAGGAGCTGCGCTTTGTAGGGATGTCACTAGAACCATACTTTGTTTTGAAAACATGACAGTACTCATTTTTCTACAGTACCATAAGTACTGTAGGTATCAATTATATATACCTACAGTATATATATATATATATATATATATATAATAATCAATTCTTCCCGCCCTGACAGGGGACCCCTTGTACAGTCTAGAAATGTTTTTTTACTGTGGTATCGAATTGGTATTGAGAATCATGGGATTTAACTGGTATTGGTATCAACTACTAAATTTTTGGAATCGTGACATCCCTAGCACCTTGTCACTGGTATATATCAAGGGATTGTTGCAGATCACATGCACTAACCATGTATACCACTTGTATAAATTTGACGGTGAATGGAAGGAAAATCGTAATTGTTTAGCATAGTTGTATTTTAGGCAATAGTATAGTTCCAA